CACTATCAATGTGTTATTGGAGTTCGAACTTGAAACCAATGATCTAAAAGTTAACACTCTTTTTCCCTAGGCTAAACCCAGTTGCCACATGTTCAGTTTTATTTCACTGAGCACAAGTATCCGTATTTTGGTAATCGACTCACAAAGTTATGCAAAATCATGCTTCATAACAGCTAGAGATCTCCTTCTGATAAGCTCAAAAGGCCCAAGTTTTACAATTTTGAAAGTATCTCTAGATCCACCCAACTGAAAGTCACATTGAAAGGATGGTAGATAGAGTTCTAAATTACCTGCAACAAGTTACCCCACCAATAGAAGCCCAACCTATTTACTCGAGACACCCACTTTGTCTCTGGAAACACCCAAAATAGAAAACCCAGTCATCCTTCTCATTCATCCCCTCAAGCCCCAACCCAACAAGAAGACTAGTGGGGGTTAACATGGGGTAAGTAAGATTAAAAACACCAATAAATTTACAACAACTAGGAATAAGCTGTTCACCAATTACCACAGGTACTGATGATTGATGCAGCATATGGCCATCAATTTGTTCTTAATTATAGACGACCTTTTATCTAAGAGAGTAAACTGAAAATGACAATGGCCTTCTGCACGATTTCTAAACCACAAGCGTAAACTGTGGAGTGGTGGGCATGAAGAGACCAAAGACAAAATACCATAAATTTAATACGACATATACATTACTGAATTGGACACACAAACCCTATCGTCCTCTCTCATTCTTTGTTCTGAACTTCTGAAAGGAAACAAAATTAATTAATTAACATACACAGCTTGCACCCCCACTACTTCATCTATGCATACTTTCAGAGAGAGAGAGAGAGAGAGAGAGAGAGAGAGAGAGAGATGTAACAAACGAAGCAAACAATATATGATGGCAGAGAAACCACAAGTGTTTGTTGTGGAGTGGGAGCTACAAACTGTATGCATTAAATTCTGACTGCCCCATTCTTTATGTGTAGTCGTAGAGTAGTGATCAGAACCAGAAGTTTATATAGGGTACTGCAGACAGACACTTTGAACAGCCATGAAAGTCCTTGATGTTTTGCATGCGCCTTGAATTAGTCTTCACTGAATTTAGTGTATGACTTCAACAATTATTAAAGATTTAAGGGGCTAGGTTTGTATTGACAAGTTTGCTTAATCTTGGACTTTTTGAAGGTCTAGTCTCATGACCGACCCAACCCATTTTACGGGCCTAATCTTAACACGTTTCTATTTATTTTAGTGTTCTTTAGTGGGGGACCGAACAACATCTCGTGAGTTTTGTGAGGGTGTCAAGGCCCACATAGAATTGCTTCAAATTCACATGGTGTTCTAACTTCCATGACAAGTACATAACCTAAACCTAACCCTTGAGCTTGAGGGAAGATATATTTTACACTCAACAAGATAATTATACACTTAATTTAACCTGTGCAAATCACCTCCCACATCTGTCATTTTTTCCCTTCATGCTTAGAAACAAAACTTCCACATTTTTTATAAGCGATAGTCTAAACTACATTGAGAAGAACAGTTTCTCACACGCACACATTATTAAGGTGTCATGGGGTTCGAACCTAAGACCATTAGCCTTAATGTCAATGCTCTTTTTCACTAGGCCAGACCAATTGGCAACAAAACTTTCACCTTATAGCTAAAGAGCATGTAGTGCTATTTTTTGCCAAGTTTGCTCATAAATTGAACTCAAACTGGTGTAGAGGCGTTTCTTTCTCCTGAAGTAAGCTGTCCTATAAAGTAGATGATGAGAGAGCACAATTATGGTGCGATGGGCACAGTTGTGTTTGTGTCTACACTCGAAAAAGGTCCATGTATAATTCATGGTAAAGGTCTATACCTATGATTCATGGACCATCTAGAAATTCTAGAAAATGAAAAGAAGCGTCATCCCTTTTGTGTCTTGAGGTCTTATATTAAACTGAATATACCAAAAGTGACAAGGTGAGAATAAATATTTACAATAATGCTACAGTCATCTAAACGCTTTCTCAAGTTTTACACCATGATCTCTGTTGTGAGACATTACACAACACTGTAACAGTGACCTACTGCACTTTTCAATATCTGATGTAAGTCCTTAATTATTTGCAAATATATCAAATGAACATGGATATTTCTCTTGGGGTCAAGCCAAATAATCATCAGCGGAAGATATTTGACCTCTGCTATTGCGAAGACTTCCAAGTGGACGTCCAAATACATGTAATTATTTGCAAACCACACGTATTTAGCAAACTTTTGGTTGGATAATATACATTATCGATCGAATATTACTGTAGCTAGAATGAATATGGATAGTATGTTTGACATGTCGTAAAAACAGTCCACATTCTGAAAAGATAAAGGTGTAACATTTTTCTGTAATAAAAAAAGGTACAACTTTGTGTATATGCTATTAGTTTTTTGTTTCTTAGAAAATTGCCCCCCAAAAAAAAAAACAGCAAATTATTAGTCTCTTATTAAGGGGTTTAAGCTCCAACGTTAATGTTCCTAGCTAGAGACTAGTACAGATTTGCCAACGTTCTCATTACTTCTCTCTCTCGTCCCAAAAAATGGTGGGAACAACTCTTCTCTCCTTCTTTAAAGTCCTTGTTTCTCTCTCATGTCTCTACAGTCCTACAAGTTCCTCCTCTACAGACTCCTTTGTGTTTGGAGGCTGCACACAGCAAAAGTATGCACCCGACTCGCCCTACGAGTCGAATCTCAACTCACTCCTCACCTCCCTGGTCAACTCGGCCACCTACTCCTCCTACAACAACTACACCATCATGGGCTCAAGCCCTCAAGACGTCATCTACGGACTCTACCAATGCCGTGGTGACCTGGCCATGCCCGACTGCGCCACGTGTGTTGCTCGTGCCGTGAGCCAAGTAGGGCACCTCTGCTCCTACACCTCCGGTGGCGCTCTTCAGCTAGAAGGATGCTACATCAAGTATGATAACACTAGTTTTTTGGGCGTGGAGGACAAGACTGTGGTGTTGAAGAAATGTGGGCCGTCGATTGGGTATGATGCCGATGGAATGGGCCGTAGAGATTCAGTGTTGGCGGCCTTGGTTGGGTCCAGTGGGCCATATAGGGTTGGTGGGTCCGGGGAAGTGCAGGGTTTGGCGCAATGCGTTGGTGATTTAAGCTCATCGGAGTGTCAGGATTGTGTATCGGAGGCAATCGGACGGGTTAAAAGCGAGTGTGGTGGAGCTGTTTATGGTGATATGTTCTTGGCCAAGTGTTATGCTAGGTACTTAACTGGTGGATCTAATTTTTACTCCAAGGGCCATCATGGTAAGTTACACTTAATTTGCTTTTATGATCGTATTATTTAACGAACAAATTTAATGTCTCTAGCATTATTGATCAAAGAAACATATAGTGTTTGTGGATATAACTTTTTTTTTTTTTGTTCTCGTTTTTCAACAATATGAATGGCAGATAAATCTATCAATGATAGTGAGAAGACATTTGCTGTTATTATTGGACTATTGGCTGGAGTTGCTCTGCTCATCGTTTTTCTTACCTTTGTCAGAAAGGTGTTCGGTGGAAATGGTACGTAGAATCTTCATTTGATTGCCTTTCTTTTACCCTAATTTCTCCTCTCTTTTTTTAATTATTATTATTATTTTCTGGTTCATATTTTATTATTAATTTCCATTGGCTTTAGGACCAGAAAGCAGATAGATACTGTATATTCAGGGATATGTTAACATAATGTTTTTGGGTGTTGCTTTTTTATGTGCAGGTAAATAAATAATGAGCTTGCAAAGTTATTGGCTTCCGAAGTGATTTGCTTTTGGTTCTCTTTTTTCTTCCTTATGTCTACTTTCCTCTCCCTCTTTAATCTTTATGCTATTTTCTTTGATATAAGATCATGTTTTCTCTCGGAAAGTAGAGTTCATAGAAAAGATGGAAAAGATGGAAAGATGTACGATGGGGCACTTACCCAAAACAAAGTTGAGAGGAGGGTGGGTGACAAAAGGAGGCTCGAGATTCCAATCTCCCCTCCACTTGACAAAAGTGTGTTGTCTATGTCTAGTATGAAAAAAAATTGGCATATTCTTTTTGTAAAAGCACAGATGATCTTTTTTCTTTCTTTTTCTTTTTGTGATTTCTTAAATATATAATTATTTTGGGCTTTATAAAATGTCACCATATAATTCATTTTGTATGGTTTCTTCATGATGAAGCTTTGCTATAATTTAAACATTGCTATCCAAGGAAAAGGAAATTTTGTTTATCACTCACTCCCTCATTAAGGTAAAGATAAAATACAAGGCATCAAATCCAAACTATTTGTTAAGTCCAATAAAAAAAAATTTGCGCACCCATCTATGAAGATTTTAACTTAGGATGTATATACTTATAACTTACCTTGTGCTCTTTTATCACCGAGCCTCTGAGTTATGGACCTATTGACAACATAAAAACTACTCTTTCATTATTTTTAACAACCCACAGTATGAAATTTCATTTCACCGTCTGTTTTAAGTGAATATCATACTTTTATTTTTTGGGTCAAAGTGAACATCATACTCAAAAGAAGAGTGAATGTAGCATCCAATAACGATTGCTACTGAACAAAACTACATAGATTGACAATGAAGGGAGAATCAAACTTGTGCACACCAAGGTCAAGATTATGGCAGCCTATAACATGCAAGCCCATCAAGAAATTGGCAATGCATCAACAACATGGAAATTGGTCATCATCCTTTAAACTTTTTGAGTCAATTGGCGAGATGTAAAAATTATTAATGTTTGGATTCACATAGCTGATGTCCATAGCAAATTTCTCAAGAATTCTACCCTACTCTTTTTTTCTTTTTGAGAAAGTTGGCCAAAGACCCAAACCAGCAAAATAGATCATAGAATGACCCATGGTTTTTAGACCCATGAAAAGCCCAAATACGACAGAGATGTTGCTGGAATGTCGTAGAAGATAATACCTTGGAAACTGAAGAAGGGATAAGAAGTTTTCAATAGAAGCTTCTGGGTTCTGTCAGATGAGTCCAATAGTATTAGTAACGGGTCATCCACGCCATTTTTATTTTCTCCATTGTTCACATCAAACACCAAACCAGAATACAAAGAAGCTTCAGAGACAGACCAAGTAAACAAACAAACCATGGCAGCTGATGGCATTTTTGGGTACCCATTGAGGCGCTTCCTCTGGAGCCCTCCGATTTTCCGAGAATGGTCAGGATCAACGGCCCTCATGGACTGGCTTGAATCTCCTAATGCCCACATATTGAAAATCAATGTTCCAGGTATACATACATACCACTTTTTTTCCCAGTCGAGTCAATCCCAACTGGGATTTACCCCCTTTTTTTTTTCTTTTCTGGTTTAATAAATTTTGCTCTGTTTTCCTTCTTGCAGTTCATTTTTTCAAACTGAAATATTAGTGGGTTTTATGAGTTTAGCTCATTTTCTTTAGCGCCCCTGCCTCGAAATATTAGATTGTAATCTTAATTGGGTTTTTAGGACTGAACAATTTTTTGTGACTAGGGTAAGTAAATTGGGCATGGTTTTTTTTATCTTGAGATTGTGCGATTTGATGAAAATATATATAGGTTTCAGGAAGGAGGACATAAAAGTGCAGATAGATGAAGGGAACATTCTGCAGATAAAAGGGGAAGGCGGGAAAGAGGAGGCTCACCATGCAAAAGACACAGTTTGGCACGCGGCAGAGAGAGGGACGGGGAAAGGAGACTTTACTCGGGAAATTGAATTGCCGGAAAATGTGAAGGTGGATCAGATAAAAGCTCAAGTGGAGAATGGAGTTCTCACCATTGTTGTCCCTAAAGATGCAACCTCCAAGCCATCTAAAGTGCGAAACATCAACATCACCAGCAAGCTCTAAGCACCACCACCACCACCTAGCCGTTCACGAGAATCAAACCAGAAGCATCGAATGCTTGATCATGTGTTTGATCATGTGTCATGTATTGTGCTTTAACATGTAACAATAAGTATATGATTATATATGCGTGCATATGCGTATACTTCCTCAGTGTCGTTATAATTCACTAGGGTAAAGAAAATTACACTCTCCAAAAGGTCACACGGAAAATCAAGGCATAATGGGTGAAGAATGCAGAAGATCATGGGACACAACCCAAAGCCAATCGGATAACAACCATACAGCCCAAAGCCAATCGGATAACAACCATACAACCCAAAGCCAATCGGATGAACACCAAGAAATTGGAGTGAACCCGAGATGTGACTCTCGCATCTTCCGAGATTTATGTGAGAGATCACGTTTAGGATTCAACGTTACGTTACAATCCTATGGATAGGCAAATACGAATTTGGAGAGGGAGAACCTGAGTTATAGATAGAGAATAGAGATTTGTGGAAGAGAAGATCTATTGGGTGGGATAAGGAGGAAGGAGCAAGGTTAGGACTATGGAGTTTGTGGGGAAAGGGGGAACATTGGGAGGGCTGGGTTGGTGGAAATATGGGTAAACTAAGCTGCAATGAGGCATGAAGCCTAAGAATTGAGCAAGAGCTTGACAAACAACTAGTTCTCGGGAAGGAGAGAGCTTCGAACCAGACAAAAAGGATGTGGGAGCAAATGGATAAGAAGAATATTTTATAGATTAATTAATTAAGTTCATTTATTGGTTAATTAATTAATACTACAAATAGAGGATATTATCTTTATTTAATAAGATAATATCACATATTTAGATATTATCCTAATTCGGAGATATCATCAATTAGTGATTTGATTCAATCTCTACAATTTGAGGAAAAAAATATTTTCCTTCCAAATAAGATATTCTTTGAAAACTCAAGATGCCTAGAGTCTTATAAATACATGGCTACATTCAATAAGGTAATCATTTTCCAATCCCGAAAACGTAGCAAAAATACCCCGAGACACTCTTCTCTCTCTCTCCAAGCCGATGACACCAACACTACCGCCGGCCACGCCTCTCTCATATCTCCATATTTTCATACACGGCTCCAATCACCACACATGACTCCCGCCACCCAGTTCTCTCCTTAGAGAAAACTCCGTACCTTTTTTTAGCTATTGTTTCTCATAGATTTAAAATAACTAACCTAGGCATCAGAGGGCCTTTGCCTGACACCATCGAGTGTGGTCTATTTACTCCGGTTTTTTTTTTACAGGAATCGAGGAAGTGAGAGAAGTAAGTTCAAAGATGGAATGATCTTCAAGCGGATATTCTCCCGTGAGAATATTTGCAAAAACAAAGGTGTTGAAGAATATAAAAGTCCTACATCGAAAACTTGACTAAACAAATTACAACATTTAATGAGTGGTTCTACTACTAACAACATTGAGGCCTTTTGTGATAAGACCCCACACATACTGGGCTATGTAGTTGGTTAAGTATAGAGCAATATTGGTGTTCGTAGTAATGGCCCGATGATCAGGTTATTTGAAATGTAACATGGTATCATAACGCACTTATTGACTGAGTCTTTATCCTTACCTCTGTGATGTTCACATGTTAGAGCTTGCTTGTTTACCTTTACTCTTTACTCAATACTTGGTGTTCACATGTTAGGCTTGATTGATTGACTTCAATGTGGACTAAGCTCCACGCATTGCCCACTATGTGGTGGTCCTCATAAGGGAGTGCATTGAAGAATATAAAAGTCCAACAAAGTTGACTAATAAAAAATAACGTACAATGAGTGGTACCACTACTTATAGCACCAATGTTTTTTGTGATAAAACTTCACACCTACTTAGTTGTGTAGGTGATTAAGCTGGAGATAATATTATTGTCGTTAATAGTGAGTTTGTTGGTCTGTCTTTATGAAATTTAACAAAAGATATATATGACTTTTGCTATGAGAGAGACTAGACACCTCACAAAACATGAACACCAAGTTTACTCAATACTTGGTGTTCACGTGTTACGCTTGATTGATTGACTTCGATGTGGACTTAGCTCCAAGCATAGCCCACTATGTGGTGGTTCCTCATAAGGGAGTGCATGGAAGAATATAAAAGTTCAACATTGAAAACTTGACTAATAAAAAATAACATATAATGAGTGGTTCCACTACTAATAGCACCAATGTCTTTTGTGATAAAACTCCACACCTACTTGGTTGTGTAGGTGATTAAGCTGGAGATAATATCAGTGTCGTTAATAGTGAGTTGTTGGTCTGTCTTTATGAAATTTAACAAAAGACATTTGTCTTTTGTTATGAGAGAGACTTGAGACAAAAGACATATATGCCTTTTGCTGTGAGAGGGACTTGAGACACCTCACAAAATGTGAAGGAATGAGGAGTGAGGAGAAGGGGCAATGACCTCCTCCTCAGTGCTCAAATTGTGCTTGTGCAATTGGGAAGAGATCTCATGATAGAGTTCTTTCAAGCAGTTAATGTTTGGCACACCAAAGTATATTACTATATGTATGTCTCTACCTCTACACTTGATTATTTATATACATATATTTATATATATATATAGGAAAAAAGAAATCAAAGCAAAACATAACCCAAATGAACCACATATTAGAAAGTTCTTCCCATGATAGGGTTCTTTCAAGCAGTTAATGTTTGGCACACCAAAGTATATTACTATATGTATGTCTCTATCTCTTCACTTGATTATTATAAATTAAAAAAAGAAGAAGAAGAAATCAAGGCAAAACATAACCCAAATGGACCCCATATTAGAAAGTTTAGTCTATAATTTCTATATGACTTGAACTCTTGAAGAAAGTTGAGGTTTTCACCCCAAATTAGAAATGTTCTTGGGGAAGGGGGTGGGGATCCATTAATTGAACTAATAGTCAATATGTTGAGGTTTGATATCTACGTGCAAGATTTTCAAGATTGAGTACTAGTTGAAATGACTCCCAAAAGTTGTGTAATTTTATATAATTAACCTTTTTTTAAATATAATTTATTATCAATGTTTTAGAACTTGGAAGAAAAGGTATGAACTTCCTACGTGCGATTACTACTTTTATTGGGTGTTCCGACCAAACTAGCCATGCAAATAAAGAGACGACTTTGTAAATTGTAACATTCATGCCTTAAAGATTGAAGCTAGCTTTCAATTAATCAATCAAAATAATACGAACTCATTTCTTCTTAGCATTCATATCATTTTCTCCAAAAGACAGCTTTCATTCAAACAATTTTTTTTTAAAATTTTCCTTCTGGTTTGACAATCACAAGTTAATACAAGAGATGATTTATCGTTGATACAATTGGGTATAAACTACAACCAAGCAGTCTTTGAGCTTAAGATTGTAGCTAAAGGACGACGAGTGGAGTACATGTTAAAGACATACATGAAAAGCTGATGTGAATTTAAGAATGAATTCATTGTCCTCAAAGGACTACAAGCTTCTGCTAAAAGGCATATCTTGGTTTGGCCTTTTTTGGTTGTTTACACCTAATCATTAATTATAAAAGGTTTATGATAATTGAAGATTTGATTAGGATTTTGTAATCAATAAGATTTCATTACCCAAATTCCATTTCCAATAAATCACCGTTTTATTTAAAAACAAAACACAATTAATTATTATTAATTTTTTTTTTTAACTATAGATGGCCAAGCAATTAATAAGAACCTACCAGAAAAATATCTTGATGCAATCCCTAATTGCCCGTAGACATTTCTTATTGAGAAAGGTAAGATCATCGCATCCACCTTGGAGCTCCAAGAAAGGTTCAAAATCCCTTTGGACCGATGTAATGTTCATGGTCCCCATTTTTGAAGCTTCCTTTGATTGCCCCTTAATCTCCTCAAACTCGAAACTTTCAACCATTTCCCACATTTTTTTATGTTGAGAAAGTCAAGTGGCTGCATTATTCCTACTACACCTGCCTGTACTGTATCACCCCCTCTTTATATGACAACTCTGCCAATGGCCTTTTAAACGCCAATTCTGAATTTCCGGTGCTTTAATACAAACGCAACTACTTCAGTCCTCTCAAGTTCTCAACCTCCCTCCCTCCCTTCCCATATTAACTTTTCCCTCATTTTCTCTCACTTTCTCTCCATCCAACCAGGGTCCAGTGAACCAAATTCGAATTCGAACTCAAAAAGGGATGAAACCCATTTCGTAACCATCCCCAAAGAACAAAACCCAGCTCTGTTTTTCACCATTGGAGTTGAAAAATGAAGCCCCCAATGCAGCGCAACATGGTTTTCACCTCTTTGTTGCTGATATATAGTCTTGGCCTTTGCCTGATTGCGAGTTCTGATCTGGCTGCAGATAGAGCGGCCTTGTTGGCTCTCAGAACAGCCGTTAAAGGCCGTTCAATGGCGTGGAACGTAACGGAGACCAACCCCTGTTCATGGCCTGGCGTTACATGTGAGTCAGACCGAGTCATTGAGTTGAGGCTTCCGGGTCGGGCACTCGTTGGGCAACTCCCTCTGGGTCTCGGCAACCTGACCCAACTCTCGACCCTCTCTCTACGCCTAAACGCGCTTTCAGGCCAAGTCCCAAATGACCTTGTCAACCTCGTCAACCTCAAAAATCTCTACTTGCAAGGTAACTCATTCTCGGGTCCGATTCCAGAATTTTTGTTCAATATGCAAAGCCTTATGAGATTGAGCCTTGCTAAAAATAAATTCTCTGGTGAAATTTCGCCGGGGTTTAATAACTTGATGAGTTTGGTAACTCTGCATTTGGAAGAGAATCAGCTTACTGGGTCAATTCCTGAACTGGGTTTGGCCCTTGAACAATTCAATGTTTCGTCCAACCAGTTAAACGGGTCGATCCCTTCAAAGCTTTCGCATTGGCCCGAAAACGCTTTCGAGGGAAATTTGCTTTGTGGGAAGCCATTGAAGGCCTGTAATGGGACAGAGTATACTGGGAAGAAGAACAAGTTGTCTGGTGGGGCAATTGCAGGGATTGTGATTGGTTGTATTTTTGGTCTCTTCGTTATTATTGCCATTGTGATCTTTTTGTGTAAGAGAAATAAAAATGGTGAAGAGGGTACAGAGTATGTTGCTCCAGCGAAGGTTCGGGAAGTTGAAACCGCCAGT